TTTACGCCCCACTTGCTTTGGCACTGCAAAAATTGTCATATGGCTATCAATGCATCTTCAAATAATCTTTGCATTAATTTTATATATTTTTTTTAGATCTCCGCCAATGTAGACTCGCCATTAGTATTGACCTCGTGCATAAGTGTACAAGTTTTACTGAAATAAGTATAAGTAGATAATTTAATTTAAATCTTTCCTTATGTAGCCCTTTACCCCCTAGCCTACCTCACTCGCTACATCTCCTCCTCCATCCATACTTATGCTAGCATGATAACGATACCATAGCGACACCTCAATTTACTGTGGAAATTTATATAAAATTCACATCTACAGTAGTGTGTTTATTGCCGTCTGTAACAGTCTTCTTGTAGGGAGCACTCGACTATGCTTTCTACCAACTCTTTTCCTCGTGGCAGGGGAATGTTTTTTTCTCGATTTCTGCTGAATTATAGCCATTCTTTGGTCCAAAGATCTTGAGGTGTCTTTCTAATTGTGTTTAATTTTTTTGCCATGCAGGAGCCGGTTGTTCCTGTGGTAAGTGAGATACAGCAATCACCGCATCATGACCACTCAATTTGTGTGAATTATTTGATCAAAGTGTGGTGTGTCTAACCTTCTTACCCTTTTAGTTTTTAACCATTACATTGCCTCCCACTCTGTTTTGTGTAGTTGAGGTTGCCTACCTCCATGGTGTAACCAGTCACAAATCCCGGCTGTCGACAACGACGCTTGTTTTTTTGACAACTTTCCCTACTTGCTGAAGTGTCTCATCAGAGACGGTCACTAAATTATGGGACTGAGGGTCATTTTAATGATAAGCATGAACGGGGTGTCACGTACATCAAGTTCCACTTGGAGCATAAGACTTGCTTCAGTGTTTCCTGAGTAACTAGAATTGCAGCCTTCTGAAGTGTGCTTTGCAGATCCACCTTACTTTATGGCTTCTCACTTATTGGCTGTGAAACATTTAGTCTGGCAAAACCTGAAACACTGGCAATTTTCTTTCAGAAACAGTCTCCTGGTAGCCCTAAACCTCTGATTGATGCTGGCGAAGATGATGAGAATGATGTTCTGGAAGGTCTTGACGCCATCCTCGTAACATGCAGGCGTTTAGCCCACGGGACAGCCAGTCTCATGCACTGGGCCACCGCCGCACAACGCGAATTGGTCAAACAGGGTCGTTTGAAACCGGTCTGTGAGAATGTAGATGAGAGCGAAGCAGAATCGCAATGGACATGTGGACTTGTATCTGCCGTGGGTTTAACTTTTTTCGTTTCCTCTTTCTTTCAAACACATTAGAAAGTCGCGGGTTTAGCTAGTTATGCAAAGTACTTTTTCTTCATCTGCACTTTTCCTCATGCTGCATTGATTCTTGTTTCGTAGAATGCTCCTTTCCCTCTGGCTTTTCTATTCCAGGCAAGATATGTCTCCGCTGCCACCGTTCATCTGGTAGAGTCCGCGGAGACGTTGGTAGCGGTGCAGACCAGTGACGCGTCAGCAGAGAGTAAGAAGCCGCTTTGTGTACCCGAGGATCTCGTCTCCGCAGCTCGTACTGTGGTCTCTAACACTGGTCAGTTGATCTTTGCGTGCCTTGCTAAGGCGGACGCCAATTCCGCCTCGATGCGAGGTTTAAACGCTGCAGCCTCCGCGGTTCGACGTCACGCCGAACGTCTGATTGAACTGACGGAGTTGGAGAAGGGCAAGAATGAAACCGATGAACTTCTGAAGCCTTCTGGTCCTAGAAAGGCTACGGTAGAGGCTATGAGAGAGGTTAGTTAGAATTTTTTCGTTTTTGGGTCTTAGATTAGAAGATAATTCTTGAAATGTCCTAAGTTTCAAAGGGTATGGCAGTGTCACATTTGTGGTGGAGGAATGGATACGACATTATTGTCATGATGTCTGATGCAAGATGCCATTAATAGTGGTCGTCTCCGTTTTCTTCCTAATAGAATAGTTGTCTCAAGTATCCAACGCTTTGGTCTTGTTGAAAATTCTCTTTTTTTACACATTCTTTGTGTTCACTTGTCTTGACTTTTATTTCGCCCATTTCTTTGCTCTTAATTGGGAGTAGCTACAAAATGGCTTTGTGAGAAATCAACCAAATAACAGCTGCCGTAGAGGTCGCTTACCTTCAACGAATGTCCACTTAACCCTCTAAATGATTTACTTGGGACCACTGTGTCAATAAAAGCCTGATTAAATTTCCTTAA